GATATAGGCCTAAATAACTTTCAGCTAGTTTCCAAGGCAACATTTGTTATGTTCATTTAAGTTGAATAACTAAAACAGAATTAAAAATCTATAAAATATTTTTTAAAAAAAAATTTTTTTACTGAATTTGACCTAAAACGAAAATGGAAAATGTACAAAAAAAAAAAAATCTAATATTTATTAAAACCTATAATAGTATATAATTGATAGTAAACTAATCTGTCATGACTTCTCTCTCCTGGCTGGTGCTGCAGGTCAGTGCGAGAACCTGAACAAAATTACATTTGAATAGAAATGATAATAAATCAGTTTTTTAGCATAATTAGGATTGTTTGCGTTGTTTGCATAACAATCAAGCACATTTTCCCCCACTTCTCATTTTTTAAATAATATTTATTTTTAAATGTAACATTTATTCTATGTATTTATTAACATGTATGTTAGCAAATAAATGTAAATTTTAATTTTATTTAAAATGTAATACTTTTATTCAGCAAGGACGCATTCAAGTCATAGTAAAGATGTTTATAATGTTTCAAAATATTTCTATTTCAAATAAATGCTGTTCTTTTTAACTTTCTATGCATCTGTGAATTCTGAAAAATAAAATGCATCACAGTTTCCACAAAAATATGAATGTTTTCAACATTGATAATAATCAGAAATGTTTCTTGAGCAGCAAATCAGCATATTAGAATGATTTCTGAAGATCATGTGACACTGAAGACTGCGGTAATGATGCTGAAAATACAACTTTGATCACAGGAATAAATTACAGTTTAACAGATATTCACATAGAAAACAGCTGTTTTAAATTGCAATAATATTTCACGATTTTTAACTTGTTTTTGATCAAATAATCGAACCTTGCTTTTCTTATCGTATCTTAAAATTTTCATAATTATTGTAAATGTATAACAAAATTCTTCTGTTTATTTAAAAATAAATAAATCAACAATATAAAACTATGTATTGTATGTCATTGATCTGATGGTTTATTTGCAGAGTTCATCTGTCTAAGGGCCAGTGGAGGGCGCTGTCTCCGTCTCAGGCCCGAAAGTTCCCCAAGACCACAGTAACGTCCCGAATCCGGTTCATCCCGAAGGTGAACAGCACGAGACCCATCACTCGCCTCGCGGGACCCAGAGAGTCGCTGCAGGTGCGTCTGTCAGCCGCCAGGATTACAATCAAACAGTCGAGTGAGAAAGCATCAAGACTGACGCTCCGTGTGTGTGTGTGTGTGTGTGCGTGTGCGTGTGCGTGAGATAAATAATGAAACACAAGCAGCCGTTGCACAATCACTGCTGTTTATTAGATTCATCTTTGTGCCATCTGATACTTATTCACGAACTTTTTTGTCAGCCAAACTTGAAGATCTTAAAGGGGTCCTATTATGCTTTTTCACTTTTTCAACTTTAGTTAGTCTGTAATGTTGCTGTTTGAGCATAAAAAAGATCTGCAAAGTTACAAAGCTCAAAGTCCACTTCAAAAGGAGATATTTTATTTAACAGAAATCACTTTTCAAAAACTACAACGAACGATTCGTTTGGACTACAACGCATATTTTCCGGGATTTGTGATATGATGGTAACGGGGATCTCGTTAATTAATGACATCTTTAGCACTCATTTAAACTGGTTTGTCAGCGAGATAAAGTCTGGATGAAAGCTGAAGCTCTGCTGCTGCTGGTTAATGTGTAATGTTCACTCACACCTGGATGTTTTCATTTAATCTCTATTTCAGTGTCAATGAGAGAGCTTTAAAGTAGCTTTTTTTTTCCAGTTTTCGTTTTAGCAATTTTATTGTGTTTTTGTCATATTTATAGTTTTATTTATTTTAGTGCATCAAGTGAATCTAAACAAAAATGAGAACTAGGCAACTAGCTAAAATAAATATAAACGTTTTTTTTATTTTATTTCATTTCAGTTAATTTGTTTTTTCAAGGAACAGAAATGTTTTTGTCTGCTCAGTCTGAAAGTGAATCATGTAAATAGGTTTATTTTATTCCCAGTGTTATTTTAGTATCATTGATATACTATTGTAGTTTTTATTAATATTTAGAGTTTTTTATATATATATATATAAATATTCAGTTTTTGTTTTAATTTTAAAGTTTTTGTAATTTTGCTGTTTTTGTCGTTTTTATTAGTATTTTTCTATTTTAAAATATGTCTGTAGTTTTGTTTTCTTCAGTTTTAGTTATTTTAGTACTTGAAGGTAAACTAAATGGAAATTACACTAGAAAATATAAATCAGAAATATAATAAAACAATCGCAAAAAATATATAAAATTACTTTTATGTGTCTGTGTGTGTATATATGCTAAAAAGCTAATGATGTTAATATAATGCATATATAAAGCATACAAATATAAAACAATATTTGTACTAATTTTTTAACATTTAAATTAAAACTAAAAAATATGAATATTTTTATTTTCTGCTTTCATTTAAATTTTAATTTTTGTTAAAGTTTTAATTTTGTTGTGTGCTTTTGTCATTATTTTTTATATGTCTATAGAATTTTTATATTAATTTTTATTTCAGTTTTAGTTATTTTAGTTTTAGGGCATCAAGTTAAACAAAATGAAAACGAGAAACAAGTAACTTTTTTTTTTTTTTTTTTTTCAGTTAAAGTTTATTTTATTTTAAAAAACTGTAATGTCTTTGTCTGCTCAGTCTGGAAAATAATCATGTAAATAAGTGTAATTTATTCCCACCAGTGTTATTTTATCACTAATGTACTATTATTGTTTTGAATTATTATTATAATTTTTTTTTTTTTTTTTCAGTTTTAGTTTTAGTTAAAGTTTTAGTAATTTTGTTGGGTATTTTTGTCATTATTATTATTATTATTTCTATACAGTTTTATTCATTTTTATTTCAGTTTTAGTTGTTTTAATATTTCAAGTTAAATGAAATAAAAATGAGAAAAGTTGCTGTGGCAACTACCTGAAAAAAAAAGTATTAATTTTATTTATTTATTTTATTTATTCAAGTTTTTGTCTGCACGTTCTGAAAATGAGACATGTAAATAGATTAAATTTATTCCTAGCAGTTATTATAATATTATTATATAGTATTAAAATTTTTATTCATGTTTTGAATTAATTGTTTATTTTTTATTTTTATTTTAATTTTTTAGTTAAAGTTTTAGTAATTTTGTTCAGTTATAGTCTTAGTTCATTTAATGAAAGTTAAAATAAATGAAGATAAGATTTGTTTTTTTGTCAATTGGCTGAAATAAAATAAGCTTAAAAGCCCTTTCACACCAAAAAGTGTAATGAATAAACCTCAGGCCGAAGGAAAAGTAAATTAACGTCTGTACAGTAGAACGCAGAATATGCATATTTAATTATTAATATTTATGTATTACTCATATTTATCATTTATTTATGCATTACTCGTGCATTTATTTTATTACTCTTGTTATTTATATTATTTATTAATCTTATATATTTACGCATATTAATGTTTCTTTAATATGCATATTTAATTATTAATATTTATGTACTAATATTTATCATTTATTTATGTATTACTCATGCATTTATTTTATTACTCTTATTTATTTATATTATTTATTAATCATATATTTATGCATATTAATGTTTCTTTAATATGCATATTTAATTATTCATATTTATGTATTACTCATATTTATCATTTATTTATGCATTACTCGTGCATTTATTTTATTACTCTTGTTATTTATATTATTTATTAATCTTATATATTTACACATATTAATGTTTCTTTAATATGCATATTATTCATATTTATGTACTACTCATTATTTATGCATTGCTCGTATTTATAATTTGTATTTATTTATTACTCTTATTTTTTATTTTGATACTGTATAATGCTTATTTACTTATTTATTTGTTACATTACACAAATTAAGTTTTTAAAAGATTTGGTGTATTTTCAGAAAGAAGAAAAAACATCTAGAAATAATGTTTTTTCTTTCTTTCTTTAAATAGCTGAAATTCTTGGACATTCTCTTGGTGTTTGTCCAGAAATGCAGCATCTGTCATGAAAGGAATATTTTGGATCCTGCAGAACTATTGGCCATTTCTCTTAGTTCTCCCATGAGAGGCTCAGATGTAGTTGAGAGTGATGAGGACGCACCGACTGCGGGTCCCAGGCGATGTAGGTCAGCTCTTTGCTGATGGTGGTGATTAAGTAGAAAAGGAAGATCAGCAGCACTATGAGCGGACTGACCAGTCTCCATGTGGCCTGCCAGAAGAAGTTGGGCTTGTGACCGATCATGAACTTGATATCGTCGTTGAATCTGCGACACGCACACATATATATCAACAGGTCAGTTTCACCAGATGTGCTCTCAATAAACTGCTGCCAATCTCTTATACACAGTCAAACACCTTTCACACATTATCACAGTTTATTCATTATAGATTAGAAAACGGTGTCAGAACAAATTCATCTTGATAAAGTCAGATAACACTGAAGCAAATCATGGTCAGGTCAAAGTGTCTGAATCAGTTTTGGTCCCACATTTTTATCAATTTTACTGGTAGTCCACTGTATGAAGAATTGTTGGGTTTAATATGTCACAGTTTACTTTATTTTGCAATCCTCACTTACATAAATGAACTATAGTGTCCTGCACCCACTAGTAAAAAAATATAAAAAATTATATCTGGTGTCATATATACATATATCTCTATACAAGTATATGTGTTTAGTAAAAATATAATAAAAATATTTAATACATATTTTTATATATATACATGTACATGTTATGAATTTAAAAACATATATTATTTACTTATTTATTTGTTACATTACACAAATTAAGTTTTTAAAAGATTTGGTGTATTTTCAGAAAGAAGAAAAAACATCTAGAAATAATGTTTTTTCTTTCTTTCTTTAAATAGCTGAAATTCTTGGACATTCTCTTGGTGTTTGTCCAGAAATGCAGCATCTGTCATGAAAGGAATATTTTGGATCCTGCAGAACTATTGGCCATTTCTCTTAGTTCTCCCATGAGAGGCTCAGATGTAGTTGAGAGTGATGAGGACGCACCGACTGCGGGTCCCAGGCGATGTAGGTCAGCTCTTTGCTGATGGTGGTGATGAAGTAGAAAAGGAAGATCAGCAGCACTATGAGCGGACTGACCAGTCTCCATGTGGCCTGCCAGAAGAAGTTGGGCTTGTGACCGATCATGAACTTGATATCGTCGTTGAATCTGCGACACGCACACATATATATCAACAGGTCAGTTTCACCAGATGTGCTCTCAATAAACTGCTGCCAATCTCTTATACACAGTCAAACACCTTTTTCTCACATTATCAGTTTATTCGCTATAGTTTAGAAAATGGTAATAAAATAGGACAAGAACTCAAGAGTTAAACTGTGTCAGAACAAATTCAGATAATTTCAGATAACACTTAAGCAAAACATGGTCAGGTCAAAGTGTCTGAATCATTTTTGGTCCCACATTTTTATCAATTTTACTGGTAGTCCACTGTATGAAGAATTGTTGGGTTTAATATGTCACAGTTTACTTTATTTTGCAATCCTCACTTACATAAATGAACTATAGTGTCCTGCACCCACTAGTAAAAAAATATAAAAAATTATATCTGGTGTCATATATACATATATCTCTATACAAGTATATGTGTTTAGTAAAAATATAATAAAAATATTTAATACATATTTTTATATATATACATGTACATGTTATGAATTTAAAAACATATA